AAGTTCACCACAGTTACATGTGAAATATCATTGTTCAATGCAATCGACCTTGTACTAGAATGAGGGTTGTCCTGGAGCTCCACCAGGATATTCAATCTAGTTTCATCATCTACTCTAGGACGACCCGCACGAGGAGCATCTTTCACACTACCAGTTTCCTCAAACCTTGCCAGTACCCTACTAACCGTAGATTGCGTAATTGGTGGTCTGTCAGGGTACGTTGCATTAAATAATTGGCAAGCTTCTTGATGGGTTCGTAACTTATCGCCGAAACCAATCATCCTCAAAATATCAATTCTTTCGCGTTCACTAAGTTTTGCCATTTCGAATTAAACGATTTCACCAAAGAATGTTAAATCGGTACTGATTTTTAGTCTTCAATATTTCAGGTAATCTACTCCTTTCAAGTAAACATTTCTTTGGATCTTTTTTTTTTGAGGAATTTATCGGCAAACTCGAAGACAAAAAGTCGACCTTAATTTGCTACATACTATTTGGATTTTGTGCGGTTGAACTTGGTTCTAAATTTTGCAGTTTAATCAGGATCCTGACAATATCTGATGAATAATTCCGCAAATATTACATAACACCAGTTGCAACTTAAGTTATCTGAAATGCTTTCTGCCGAATAAATTTTTTTCTAAGGCCTTTGATCCGTAAACAGCAAATTATTGCATTCAAGAACTTAAGGTGCATTTTTCTAAAAAAAATTCTTATGTAAGACATCGAAATTTTCACACCGTTGTTTAGATAATTATCACTGTCATCAATTTCGACCGAAAAAAATATGCGTCGTCATTTAAAAAAAAAATTGTCAACGCTGCCGTAAGTGGATTATCGAAAAAAAAAAATTCCACATAACAAGGTGCCCTGGATCAAATAAAAATCGATGGGTCTCACCGTTTTTCGAAAAAAAAATTGTTTAACGAAAATATGAATTTTATGCAGAACTTTTTCGCCACGCTGTATTTCAACAGTCAATATAATTTGTGATATAATGCAAGTCAGGTTTCAGAGTTATAAATATTAACGGATATTTTTTTTTAACCATCCACACATATGTACATTTTGAGAACAACTGTGAACTTGATACGTAATCAATCACGCTAGCGCCCCAACGAATTGCAAGTTTGCCAGGTGTTGTGTCAAGAAAATTATTTACAGTAAAACGTAAGTAAATCTGTTAGTTTCTTACAGAATGTTAAGTCTAATTCTAGTGCTCTGTGGACGGATTATAGTTCGAAAAATAGCAACAATTAAAATTATGTCAATAATCTTAACTCCGATTTTAACTTTGTAATACTGAAAACACAAAAGTCAATACTTTACTGATTTTCACGGTACGAAAATATAACTTCAAATGGTGATATATATTTTTTAATTATCTAGAAATAATCTACAACCTTAATCAAGCACATGAACTATTAGAAATCTCTTAGAGGTTAATTAATAGTTAATCATTAAAGCTCGATGCACAAAGTAAAAGCTTCAATCAATTATTTTCCAACGACTATTTGATCCTTCCACCGCTAATGTGATTTTTTGGTGCTATTTCTTTTGAGACTCTAGGACGATATTGCTTATAACTTTTAAACGGGAAGTAATACGGAAAAATTTATTAGAAAAAAGAGAGCTTTATACAGGAAAAAATATAATTCATGACATTATTAGTCGTTTCTGTCAAATCTCAAAGAAAATACTTTCGATCGAAAATGTAGCTTACCTCGTTCCATTTAACACCACGTGTCCTAAATTTTATTTATTTATACTATAGAGTTTGAGGCACCCTGTCCAACTTATTAACATCTCGCGAAAGAATTGAAAAATATTTGAAAACTTACCTATCGTCATCGTTTTCTTCATGTTTTATTTCAACATCTTCGGTTTTAATATAGGACAGGCCCTCTGCCGCATTGTTGTTACACATATTTCTTATTTTCTCTTCCACATCCAAACAATCGTTTAAGAAACTCGTGTGGGTGCCCAGCGAATCGTGACAAACTTCGCACAAGACGGGTTCTTTGGTGGAACTGAAATTCTACAAGAATTGTTAATTAACATAATTGTTTTCTAGTACACATAATTTCTATAAAAATTTCTAAAACCGCATATTGTATTTACCACTTCTGGAATATATTTGCGGAGCATATCTCCATCAACTTCTTCCACTGATGTAAACTTGCAAGGGACTACTTGCATACACAGCCGACAAATCCTCTCGTCTTCTAAGCTGTCTTTTAAATGTTCTTTACCTCCTTCCTTTAAATAAATGTCCATTAAGTCGACCGGTTCCTTATTTTCGGAATTAACGTAAGGAAAGATGCAGTCTTCGGTATCCATACAAGTTGCTTTGAATTGAAATGCGGCAAACAGTCTTACGGTACAGGAATTACATATTACGGATTTATTATCTTCCACGCTCTAAAATAATAGCGATGAAGGAAATAAAGAAGTCCAATATTCAGTAATAGTTTTGTAGCCTTCTTACCAGCTTCAGCAGAAGAACGTCAAGAACTTCTCTAATGGTTCCATCTATTGTTTTGAAGCTGCCGTCGCCAAATACGTTGAGGCAAAGCCTACACGTTTTCTCAGAGTTCCCCATTTCAATAAGCTTTATAAAAGAAACGGCAATTTCACGGAATTATAAAAAATATGTCGAGAACAAACACATACTCCAAAATCAGCTAACAGCGAACTAAACAGCTTTTTAGTGAAGTTTATAAGGCGTATGACTTCCACAACATAACCTTAATTTACGAAATAATAAAATATCAACACGATATAACGTCACACCAAAATGTTGTAGATATAGTTAGAGATGGGCAGATCATAACTAATCCGGTTCATTGATCTGACTCTTCGTACTGATCCGAGTGAACCGGTTCCTGCTCATTGATCCGGATCGGTGATGATCACCTTATAAGTTTCTGTGGTCTGTAGTATCTGTATTTATATTTATAGGTTTTCATGCATTATGTATTATATGTTTTGTGGTTCTACACTTTAGAAGGAAATATTAAAGTAGTATTAAAGTTTGAAAAAAGCATACATTTATTTTGGATTGCGAATTAAACAAAGTCTGTGGGGCCCTTCGCCTGAAGTAGGCTGCGTATCCACAGGAATTGTTCATTGAATATTGTAATGTGCAGTTAGGGTTACTAATACATATTTTCGTATTTTGTGGAAAGTTATAACAATAATGAGGAAGTTTGAAAAAAGCATACTCATGGAGGATACGTCCTGTAAGCTGTGCCTTAGTAACTTAAATACTGGAGATTTTATAATAATATAAGAAACTATTGAACAGGTCCTTTTGCTGAAACTAGTAAGAAAAGTTAAACCATTGTCATTTGAGACATTCCTGAGATATCATTTACATTTTAGAAAGGGATAAGAGAACATATATCCATAATGTGCCACACTTGTTCCGCTAAACTGTTCGCAGCGTTTAATTTAATAGCTACCTGTATGGATACGGAAGACTGTATCTTTCCTTACATTGATGTTGAAATGGGGGCGCCTGACGACCTAAGTGAAATTTATCTAAAGATAAAAGGTAAAGAGCATTTAAAAGATATGTTAGAAGACGAGAGGGTTTTGTCGACTGTGTATGCAGATAATCACTTGCGGGTTTACGTCAATAAAAGAAGTGGATGTTGATAAGCTCCACAAATATATTCCAGAAGTTGTAAGTACATTATTTAAGACAATAATCTGTTCAAATTATAATCAAGTATATTCTTTTCCAAGAAAAAGAAATTGTAATAGATTTTTTCTTACAGAACTTCAGTTTCGTCAGAGAATCCGTTATATGCAAAGTTTGTCTCGATTCATTGGACACTCACATGGGTTTTTTAATTAACTGTTTAAATGTGGAAGAGGAAGAACAAATAATTCTACGCATAATACCCAAAGAGAACCCACACGAAGGGAAGGAAAAAACTTTTGGTTGAAACACCAGGATTCGTCTAAAGTGCGGACCAACAATCGCGATTCCGATTATGAAACTAGTCAAAAGAGATATCTAGTACTCCACAAAGACATCACCAAAAAACCTGTGTTAACATGTGAATCGTATAACTATAAAACTTTCACCAAGTCCAATCATCACAAAGGCAACTTTCCCAAAAAGCAGATGTATAAATGCGATCCATGTGATTTTAAAACCATTTATAAGAGAAGTCTTGTACGGCATCAACTACAACATAAACACATCCCAGAGGAGGAGATGTTCAAATGCGAATCATGTGCTTATAAAGCCTTTTATAAGAGGAGTCTTACGCATCACCGACTAAAGCATAAAGACGTTCCTGAGAAGATGTTCAAATGCAATTCATGCGATTTTAAAACCATTTATAAGAGCAATCTTACACAACATCGACTAAAACATAAAGACATCCCGCCCGAGAAGATGTTCAAATGTGGTTCCTGCGACTTTAAAACCATTTATAAGAAGAGCCTAAGACAACATCAAATAACACATAAAAACATCCCTGAAGGGGAAATGGTCAAATATTATTCCTGCGATTTTAAAACCATTTATAAAAGCAATCTTACACAACATCGACTAAAACAGAAAGACATCCCGCCAGAGAAGATGTTCAAATGTGATTCCTGCGAATTATTTAAAACTATTTATAAGAAGAGCCTTAGACAACATGAAATAACACATAAAAACATCCCCGAAGGGGAAATGTTCAAATGTTATTCCTGCGATTTTAAAACCATTCATAAGAACAATCTTACGCAACACCAGTTAAAGCACAAGGCCTTCTCCGAGAAACTTAAATGCAATTTGTGTGATTATAAAACCTGGTGTAAGTCCTATTTTACAGGTTTTATAAACATCAGCTGAGACACAAAGACATTCCAGAGGAGAATATATTGAAATGTGATTCCTGCGATTTTAAAACCATTCATAAGAGGAGCCTTATACAACATCGAGTAACACATAAAAAGATCCTTGAAGTGGAAATGATGTTGAAATGCGACTCCTGCGATTTTCAAACCATTCATAAGAGGAACCTTACGCGACATCGACTAAAACATAAAGACATCACCAAGAAGGAGATGTTGGAATGCGGTTCATGCAATTATAAAACCATAAGCACAGCCTTAAACGACATCAACTACAGCACAAAGGCATCGCTGAAAGGAAATATTGAAATGCAATTCCTGAGATTTTAAAACCATTCATAAGAGCAATCTTATTCGACACCAATTAAAGCACAAGGACTTCTCTTAAATGCAATTTGTGTGATTATAAAGTATAAGTACTATCTTACACATCAGCTTAGACACAAAGACATCCCAGAAGAGAAGATATTGAAATGGTATTCGTGTGATTATAAAACCATTTATAAGAGTAATTTAACACAACATCTGTCGAGACATAAGGGATTTGTTTATTAGCTCCAGTCAGCCACTGATTTTATAAATTGGGATTTATAAGCAACAAAAACTAGATTTTTTTTATGATCCATGTCAAACTACTAGCAACGAAATCAGATCTGCCCTGATACAAATAAACGGCATTTTTTGTGTTTTTGTTGTTTACATCTGTTTCTAACAACACTAATGAACAGACACTCAAAGACATACTGTACACTAATTTTTACTGAAAATTTGATAAATAATGAGAACTGGAACAAATTGTTTAGCATTAAAAAAGTTAACGATGTGTCTAGGTAAAAAGATCTGTTTACTCCTTGTCGTTCACTATGCATTAAAAACACAGTAAACACTAAGTTAGTGACCGAATACTGTGAGTCAAGATTCACTCCCGATAAACCTTTGTGGGTCAGCGGTCAAGAGCGGTCCGAAAGAGTTTAAATGATTTAAAAATGCATTTTAAAATTTCTAACCATGTACTCGTATTCTCAATTTGAAAAAATCGTACGGGAAATAGAAAAAAACAAATTGAAGCTGATGAATCAGACTAAATGACCATGTGCATTGATTAGGCCAGAAAAAATTCCATGCGCAGTTTTGAAAAAATAAATGTTAAATTTTTGTCTTGCGTTATTTTTCATTACTCGGAGTGATGCTCTAAAAAAATTTTTTATCTCGAGGTTTCAAAACTAGAATGGTCAAGCTTCAAGATGCTTCTTTTTTTTCTCAATACGACCATTATTCACGAAGTTGCAGCTTTTCAAAAATCACTAAAAAAATTTGGAAATTCTTCCGCACCTTTTAATTTTTTTGCGGAGTTTAGCAATCCGATAGTGAATGGTGCTATAGTAAGGTAGGTACGGTATTATAAAATCAGCATGTACAGTTAACTTTTATTTAATTCATTCGAGCCTACAATACAACAACTATAATAGGATTTAAACCTTATTTCGACGCTTTAGTACGAAAACATGCTACCTCAGATTTCGGTTGGAAAACATGCTATCTCAAATTTCAGTTGGAAAACATGCTAACTCAGATCTTTAAGTAAAAACATGCTCTCAGTGTGACTAGAAATTTAAGTTGGCACATTGAATGATTGAAATCGTGCATTTAACGAGCGTTCAAATAAAAACGTGGTCAAGTTGGTTCTGAAAATTTGGACGTAGGGCGTAGCGTATAGCAAATGAACTTAAACGTCATCTGTCAAAGCGCTATATCGCCGCTATCAATTTGAATATTTTCGTTTTAAAAAGCGTTTAAAATGGTGTTTTCTCAAGAACAAAAAGTGTTTATCATAGAGTCCTACTTTAGAAATGGACGCAAGATTGATGGAATATGGAAGTATTCTATTGAGGAATGTTTCATAGAATTTCAAAATCAATTTCCCGGCGTTGTTGAGTACAAAATTTTTCAAAGTGCAGTTCAGCGTTGTGTTAATGTTTTTCGTGAAACGGGCAGTGTAACAAGAAAAGAAGGAAGCGGCCGACCTAAAAAGCGGACTGAAGAATTAAAAGAAAATGTCCAACAAATAATGGAAAATGCGCCAAGAACTTCTGTACGTGTTTTATCACAAATGGTGGGAGTATCAGTCGGTACCTGCCACACAGTGTTAAAAAAAGATTTGCGTTTGTTCTCCTATCGTTTAACTTGTCAGCAAGAACTTCATGAAGTTGATTTTCCGCGACGGGCTGTATTTTGTGAATGGTTTTTAAACAACTACGGTGAACTTCATAATATCACCTTTTTTTCTGATGAAGCCTGGTTTCATTTAAGTGGTTACGTAAACTCACAGAATATGAGAATGTGGTCTTCTGAAAAACCAGATAACTTTTTTGTCGAGGGCCCTCTACACGCTCAAAAAATTGGAGTTTGGTGTGCTCTCAATCGAAGGAGGATTTATGGACCTATTTTTTTTAATGGTACTCTTACTGCGCAAAGGTATAGAGAAGAAATTATCGCTCCTTTTGTTAACCAGCTGGAAGAAAACGAAATTACAAACTTTTACTTTCAACAAGATGGCGCAAGGGCACATACGGCAGGCGAGACGATGAATATGTTGAGGGAAGTTTTCCAAAATCGACTAATAAGTCTCAATGCTGAACATGAATTTCCACCGAGGTCATGTGATATTACGCCGTGTGATTTCTTTTTGTGGCCTTACCTTAAAAACACTATTTTTGAACTGCCTATTCCTGATTTAAACCATCTGCAGGCTCGACTTATAGACAAGATTCGTGAAATTAACAATACCCCGAGCATCTTAGAAAATGTCTTTAATTCTTTGAGGAACAGGTGTGAAAAGTGCTTGGAACAAGGAGGGGGACACTTTCAGCAGCTGCTTTAATTTATTGTTATAACAAGGAGGGGGACACTTTCCGCAGCTCCTTTAATTGTTTGTTATTGTTATCACGATTATTCTTTAAAATAAAGTTATATAGTCATTAACGTTATTGAAACTGACAGCTGCTATACAGCTCGTTGAGAAATGAGGTTAAGTTGGTCGGTATAAGCTACTCCCTACGTCCAATGTGTCAGAGCCAACTTCGACCACGTTTTTATTTGAACGCTCGTTATAATAAACTTATATAATATATTTTTAAAAAAGTAAGGAATGTTTATGTTCACGTACACTGTTTATTTTATTTTTTTTATTCAACATTTTTCAATTAATTTTGTTAAGTTACGACAAAATTGTTAATCATAAAAATAGAATAATATGCAGTATGCTGCAACACGTACATTACTCGACGTTTTTTGAAATAACAAATTATAAAAAAAATAGTATATACCTTAATCCTTAATATATAAAAATGCTTGTTATTACTAAAAAATATTCGATTTCTTTCATACAAGCTTTGATATCAAAATTAATAGCGCACTCTTACCTGATTTATAGTCACTACTCTTACTTATGTTAATAGAGTTAACATAATAACCGGAATATAAACATAATGTATAAAGTTGAATGATACGTATACATATATCGATGAGACGGGCGCATATGATTTGCACGTGCACATTTCCGCGGTTCCCCATGCACACATGTTTATCATCAGCAGATCATAAAGTACCGGCATTAAAAGTGTCACATACTTGCATTTCATTTCCAAATTCTATGAGGCGAGGTTTTATTGAGGTGCAGTAAGAACGATTCGGACCCGGAGCTTAGAGCCTAGCCTGGTCCACTATATAATTCTTTTTATTGCAGTCTCCTTAGGCATACAAAATTATTTTCAGAATAAATTGTGCATCCCAGATTAGGTGAAAAAGAAAAATAAGTGTATCAAGAATAACGATTATAAATCAGATATGAGTACGCTATTAATTTTGATATCAAAGCAAACTCGTATGAAAAAAATCTAATAATTTTTAGTAATAACAAACATTTTTATATATTAAGGTATACACTATTTTTTTTATAATTTGTTATTTCGAAAAACGTCGAGTAATGTACGTGTTGCAGCATACTGCATATTATTCTATTTTTTAATTAACAATTTTGTCGTTTATAACAGTAACTTAACAAAATTAATTGAAAAATGTTGAATAAAAAAAAATAAAATAAACAGTGTACGTGAACATAAACATTCCTTACTTTTTTAAAAACATATAAGTCAACGTGCCAACTTAAATTTCTAGTCACACTGAGATAGCATGTTTTTACCTAAAGATCTGAGATAGCATGTTTTCCAAGCTTAATTTGAGATAGCATGATTTTCAACCGAAATCTGAGATAGCATGTTTTCGTAGTAAAGTGTCGATTTCTATGTCTTAAAATATCACTAACAAAATACAATAGCGTTACTTACAGCTGTTTTACAGCGAGAATTAATTCATGAATTTCACGAAGTTTTTCATGAATTAACTCATCGGTTTTTTCATAAAAGGTTTGGTTTTACATTGTTCTAAACTTTGTCAATTTCTTTGAAACGAAAACAATTACTACCAACTTCACAGGAAAGTCTTGATAAATAAAGACAGATTGAAAGTGAACACATTTTCTTGAATAAATTAAGTTATTTTTTTAATTACATAACATGAAAAAAAATTGTAATCAGTCGTGCTTTGCCAGTTCAATTATCACTATTTATAAGTGCTGTAATAAAAACTGCAGACAAATAATTTAACCTCAATATTTTTGTTAGTATTTCCAAACTTCATGAAGAAATTCACGAAAATTAGAGCTAATTTATGAAGACTTATATTTTAACTGTGGGAATAATTCACGATGTGAATCAAGTCCAGTGAGAAATCGAAGAATTCATTTCAGCAAGTTAAATCCTACAACAAATATTTAAACGTCTACCACCTGTTCACAGAAAATTAAAGTAGTTGGTGCAAAATATATTTAGGGACTTGCCATAACCTTCCAATGCACATGTACACAACTCGTATTTACAAAATAAATATTTTTGCACAACGTACAAAGGGCAGTAAGTAACTCACACCTGGAAACATCAATTGAGGTCTCCTCAAAAACTCCATATGCATAGTTTTTAAGAAAACGTACAAGTACGATTGCATTTAAGAAGGCTCTTCATGCTTCAACATGTGACATTTAATAACATTCCTGTATTTAGTTTCGAAATTGCACTTGTTACACCTGTACATCTGAACATGTGCAGGATCTTTATGCTTCAGTTGATGGTTTTTAATATTACCGCTGTATTTAGTTTTGAAATTGCAATTGTTACACCTGTACATTTGAACCTGCGAAGGATCCCTATGTGTCAATTGATGGTTTCTGATATTACCCTTAAATATAGTTTCATAATCGCAGTCGTTACACCTGTACAATTGAACCTGTGATGGATCTTTATGCTTCAATTGGTGTCGTTTTATAAGGTTGCTGTATATAGTTTCGTAATCGCAGTCATTACACCTGTACATTTGAACATGCGCAGGATCTTTATGCTTCAGTTGATGGGATTTAATATTATACCTGTATTTAGTTTTGTAATTGCAATTGTTACACCTGTACAATTGAACCTGCGAAGGATCCCTATGTGTCAATTGATGGTTTTTGATATAACTTCTGTACTTAGTTTTATAATCGCAGTCGTTACACCTGTACATTTGAACCTGTGATGGATCTTTATGCTTCAGTTGGTGTCGGTTCATATGGTTGCTGTATTTAGTTTCGTAATCGCAATCGTTACACTTGTACATTTGAACCTGTGAAGGATCTTTATGCTTCAGTTGGTGCTGTTTGATATAACTCTTGTATTTAGTTTCGTAATCGCAGGTTTTACACCTGTACATTTGAACCTGCGAAGGATCTTTATGTTTCACTTGGTGCCGTTTGATATTTGTCTTGTATTTAGTTTCATAATCGCAGTTGTTACACCTGTACATTTGAACTTCAGAAGGATTTTTATGCCCCAACTGGTGCCTCTGAAGTAATTTCTTATTTTCAGTTTTATAATCCCACATTTCACACTTGTACACTTCCCAATCTTCCCCGTATCTAGCACAGTGTGCTGCAAAATGGATCTTACTTCCAGTTTCGTAACTACAATTATCACATCTGTACGATTCATTGCCCTCCTGCTTTTTTTTCATATTATATTTGTTCTTTGATCTATTCTCGTGTTTACATCCATCCTCTTTTGCATCTTTACACTCACTCTTCTCGAATGGTTCATCCTCTAGTGGCGTGTCGCTGAAAAAATTGCATATACAGAGTATTTTCCAAATCAAGGTTTTAATTTTAAGAGGTTATTGCATTATTTCCATTTTATGATGAAATTAAATATGTTAATGATGATCATGAAAATAATTAAGTGAAATCTCTATGAAGTTCAGGAAAAGAATACTAGAGAGAAAAATAAGAACTGAAATTATAAGGTTACCTGCAAAAAGTATGTGGGTATTTTTCCGGCTTCTCCAAATGAAATTACTATTGTTACTATGTCAATAGAGATCTATACCCAAGTACTTGCCCAACAAATCTCATTTAAATGTTTTGTCAACGTTTAAGTAACGTTTAAATATAATACGGGGCGTTTCGCATAAGAACCGACGCAGAGCGAGGGTATGTGGGGAACCAAAATATGATGATTTAACGCAACTTACCTTTATAGTCCATGGGCCCACGTACAAAGAAAAAATGATTATCAGCAAGCTGTAACTTTGCGTGCAGCTTAAGTTTGACGAGTCTCCAAAGATTTGACCACGAGGAAAATTCAACAGTGGTAAGTTTTCCCGTGATTTTCAGGAAAACATGTCAATCTGGCATAAACATGTGACTACGAGGAAAATTCAACAGTGGTAAGTTTTCCCGTGATTTTCAGGAAAACATGTCAATCTGGCATAAATATGGAATGTTATGACCAGCACTTTCGTTTTAAGTTTATATGAAAGATATATATTTTTTAAACCCCCCAAAAATTTGTCCGACAAAAATGTTGGTATTTCGAGTTTGACCCCCACCCGAAATATGTCGATTTGGTGACATTATGGTTGGTGACAACCAGCAAGTTGATTTTTCTGGGAGGGTTTGGTAATAAGATTTGAAATGAAAGTATCTTATTGTCCGACAAAATTCTTGAGAAGTTTTTGCAGTCCGACGCCCCGAAGATGTCGACTTAACGACAACATGGTTGCTGATTTTTTCTCTAATAATTGAAATGTATAACACAATAATATACTTGTACGCCAAAAAGATTGGAAAATTTGCCTTAAAAATGGAAAAAATAACTATTTTTGTGGTACCTAATGTTCATTCCGCTATAAAATAATACATTTTTTAATGAAAAAATAAAGAAGAATAAATAAGAAAATTATCTTGTTAACAGGAGCAACAGAAATTGAAATTCATAAATAATTATGTCTGACTAATTTAATTAATCTCCATCAAAATGATTTCTTTGTTATGTGTATATGTACATTTTATTTTATAAACCATTGAAACTATTTTATAAAAAATGGTAACTGTACAATGAACGCATATACATTTTTGCTTGTGTTTTTTTAAATTAAAATTTGTAATCTTGTTTTGACAAACAGTTTACACATAGTTTTGTTCTTGAAAAACCAATTAAACCTATTTTAAAAATATTATTATACATTTATCAAAGCGTTTATTAAAAGATTGTCTTGTTGTAAAGTATAAATCCTTAATGCGAAATGACTTTGCAGCATTTAAAACCTGCTGTCAAAGTTCTTAACAGGTGTTTGTAGTTTCTCCATAAACAACTGATTTCATGTAACCCCAAAGACGGAAGTGTCGGCATTCCATCTCACATTTATGTACATACAATTTAAATTAAGATGTAATTTTAGGTACGAATAATACTTAACGGACAGTAACATAAAAATGACAGCAATAAGACAAGTGGAGTATGTCAATTATTTGATTTTCGTCCAAACATAAGAAACTTCACCGCTAAATTAATAATACCTGTAGGTACTTCATTGCAATTTAATTCAACAGCATTGGAAGTTTCAGAGCCATATATCTCGAAAGCGGTGCGAGTCAGCTAGTTTTATAAAATGTAGGTTTTTTGTGTAAAAAAGTTGGAAAATAAGAATTTGGTACCAAAGATGAGATACCTTAAAGTATAAAAAAGTTATGCCGGTTTTAACACATTCAATGTACTGCAGCTAGCGCCCTCTATGAACTTTAACCAAAATGTGAACACATTTCTATTCCTCTACTTAAAGAACTCCAAACCTCAAAATTTTGTGAGGATATTTGCATTTGTTAAGGAATAAATGAAAAAAAACTAAAATAATTTTTTACATTTAACACCCTGTATCTCATTAACTATCAACTTTTGGACTAGGGTAAGTTCGGCTAAATAGCAATATTTTTGCTTTGAGAATCTACACATGAATTTTGACCTATTAGCTCGGGACCACAGTGTATATAATTTTTTTGTAATTGTAACGAGCGTTCAAATAAAAACGTGGTCAAGTTGGTTCTGAAAATTTGGACGTAGGGCGTAGCGTATAGCAAATGAACTTAAACGTCATCTGTCAAAGTGCTATATCGCCGCTATCAATTTGAAAATTTTCGTTTTAAAAAGCGTTTAAAATGGTGTTTTCTCAAGAACAAAAAGTGTTTATCATAGAGTCCTACTTTAGAAATTGACGCAACATTGATGGAATATGGAAGTATTCTATTGAGGAATGTTTCATAGAATTTCAAAATCAATTTCCCGGCGTTGTTGAGTACAAAATTTTTCAGTGCAGTTCAGCGTTGTGTTAATGTTTTTCGTGAAACGGGCAGTGTAACAAGAAAAGAATGAAGCGGCCGACCTAAAAAGCGGACTGAGGAATTAAAAGAAAATGTCCAACAAATAATGGAAAATGCGCCAAGAACTTCTGTACGTGTTTTATCACAAATGGTGGGAGTATCAATCGGTACCTGCCACACAGTGTTAAAAAAAGATTTGCGTTTGTTCTCCTATCGTTTAACTTGTCAGCAAGAACTTCATGAAGTTGATTTTCCACGACGGGCTGTATTTTGTAAATGGTGTTTAAACAACTACGGTAAACTTCATAATATCACCTTTTTTTCTGATTTCATTTAAGTGGTTATGTAAACTCACAGAATATGAGAATGTGGTCTTCTGAAAAACCAGATAACTTTTTTGTCGAGGGCCCTCTACACGCTCAACAAATTGGAGTTTGGTGTGCTCTCAATCGAAGGAGGATTTATGGACCTATTTTTTTTAATGGTACTCTTACTGCGCAAAGGTATAGAGAAGAAATTATCGCTCCTTTTGTTAACCAGCTGGAAGAAAACGAAATTACAAACTTTTACTTTCAACAAGATGGCGCAAGGGCACATACGGCAGGCGAGACGATGAATATGTTGAGGGAAGTTTTCCAAAATCGACTAATAAGTATGAATGCTGAACATGAATTTCCACCGAGGTCATGTGATATTACGCCGTGTGATTTCTATTGAAAACACTATTTTTGAACTGCCTATTCCTGATTTAAACCATCTGCAGGCTCGACTTATAGACAAGATTCGTGAAATTAACAATACCCCGAGCATCTTAGAAAATGTCTTTAATTCTTTGAGGATCAGGTGTGAAAAGTGCTTGGAACAAGGAGGGGGACACTTTGAGCAGCTGCTTTAATTTATTGTTATAACAAGGAGGGGGACACTTTCCACAGCTCCTTTGTTTGTTATTGTTATCACGATTATTCTTTAAAATAAAGTTATATAGTCATTAAAGTTATTGAAACTGACAGCTGCTATACAGCTCGTTGAGAAATGAGGTTAAGTTGGTCGCTATAAGCTACTCCCTACGTCCCATGTGTCAGAGCCAACTTCGACCACGTTTTTATTTGAATGCTCGTTATAAAAAAATAAATTTAAATTAGTTATATTTATTTTGAAATTTGAGAAATTTAAATAAAATTTTTTGTATTCATATATTTTTTTTTATTAAATATAAATTTTTCTTCTCCATCATGCGTGAGTATTGAAACCGCAAAATTTTATCATTTAATTTTGTCGGACAAGCAAAAAAAGACGGATAATTTTGTCGGACAATTAAATTCCCAGATTAATATTGCATTTTTTTAAATAATAACGCCTTTGTCCGACAGCTGGTTATCACCAACCATGTTGTCGTTAAGTCGACATCTTCGGGGAGTCGGACTGCAAAAACTTCTCAAGAATTTTGTCGGACAATAAGATACTTTCATTTCAAATCTTATTAGCAAACCCTCCCAGAAAAATCAGCTTGCTGGTTGTCACCAACCATAATGTCACCAAATCGACATATTTGGGATGGGGGACAAACTAAAAATACCAACATTTTTGTAAGACAAATTTTTTGGGGGGTTTAAAAAATATATCTCTTATTTAAACTTAAAAAAAGTGCTGGTCATAACATTCCATGTTTATGCCAGATTGACATGTTTTCCTGAAAATCACGGAAAAACTTAACACTGTTGAATTTTCCTCATAGTCAAATCTTGGGAGACTCGTCAAACTTAAACTGCACGCAAAGTTACAGCTTGCTGGTAATCATTTTTTTCTTTGTACATGGGCCCGTGGACTATTATACTAAGTTGCACACCTGAGAAGTTATAGGCCTTGAAAATGGGGTTTCAAATTTCGAAAAAATTAATAATGGTACGCCTACGGCCCACTCGATCGTAGACGCAGGTTAGGGTGTAGCAGATGGTAGTTAGAGACAAGTTAAAACAAAAACATTTATTACTAAACAATTTTGAAATTAGTTTGCCATAACAATTGAAATGGCCCTTACTATTAAAACTAGAAGATAATACTTACATTAACCCAACCTTTTTCATTTTGGGAGAGAGATGACTTGCCAGTGTCTCACTTAACTTCCAAAAATCTACCGTCTAAGACAGTTCAACGAGCGCGCAACTCCCTTTGAAAAATGGTCCTGTTTGTAGGATCCGACCCAATTTGAGTTTACCGCCCGGTCCGGTGATTTCGCAATCACCTAGTCGTCGAATTGTCTTTTTGTTTCGTAATAAAATTTTATTGATTGTGAAATAATGGAACCGCATAAAAACGTTTAACCCATAAATTCGACGGATCCATAGACGTCCAGAAAAATTTAGCCCTGCCTCGTCTAGTTATACTATATTCCGACCTATATACCATATAATTACCATACCTTCATGTTTAAAATCGCATTGTAATAAAGCATGTCGTAGAATATCTAAAGATTTATAATTATAATCAGGATAATCGCTTCATTTATCTCAAATCATGTTTAAAGTAGGAACTTTATTTTTTTTAATACATATTATAAATTGGGCGCCGCAATCGTCAATTTTTTTTAATTTAATATTTTTCCGTTTCCTCTTTGAACCGTGATCAATCCTTCTTTAATTACGCGATAAATTGGCCTTTTTTGGATATCTTAGTTAATTCGTTAATCCGTTTCCTAACTTTTTTATCACATCATTCACTATTTTCAATTTTCAAACATTCATATATATTTATAAAAGAATTTGTGTATTCCAGGCCAGTTGCGTCCCGAGAAGAATTGTGGAATCGCATTACGGATAAATGCACATTCATTAGAAACAATCAGCTGTGATTCGATAGAGTAGACTTTAACTTTTCACAAATAATAAGTTTATATCCGAGAGAAAACGGTGATCATTTTGAACAATTTCTATAACTTGTCAGTCCAAATTTTCGATGATTTTCAATAATGGCTACAATACGTATTATTAGCTATTCGTGGTTTTGTTGAAATGGACAATGTTTTTTGAAAACTAACAAGAGCAAGGAAAGTTTTAGAATTAAATTCCCCATAAAAATAAAGTAATAATTTTTTAAGTCTACCAACGGGTTAAAAATTCTGTCTCATTTTAATGGTACGTCATCCCTTATCAACCCTTTAAAATGCTTCAATTGAACACTACTTACTGTCGATTAATGCTCTTGCACCTTGAACCAAATTTGGTTTTTCTATGTTCAAGTATAACCGAGATTGATTTTTTCGAAATTTGGGTTCCCCTACATCGGTTCTCATGCGAAACACCCTGTATACAGGGTGTCCCGGTTAGGCTTAAAAATAACTGGAATGTGAGTTCCGCATAAAAAAATAGTGGAGGTAGACTATATAACATTTTTCGAATTAACGTAGCAATTCCGAGAAACAGGGTGTTAAAGTTACATTTAAGACGATTTTTCTTAATTATCTTTAAATTGCTTAGATTAAAATTTTCAAAAATTGTACACGAGTCAATGTCAACCGTACGTTAAGGAAAACGTGAAAACCGTTTTATTACGAAAAGCAGGAACGCGCATGCGGGCGGCTTGAGGGCTATAATTAAGAAAAAATATGTTGACAGTTAAAATTTCGTAAATTTTCAAACCATTTTAAAAATCTCAAAGATTCATACAAAAAAGGTATGCTAGTTGCGATGCTATAGAACGTACTGTTTTCGAGGAAGATGGAGTTAAACTTGTTTGTTCGTCAAGTACTTTGAAAATGTGTTGAGAAATTTCACCAAATCTATGGTAAAGTATCTTTTTAGTAATAATAATAATAATAATAATAATAATAATAATAATAATAATAATAATATATTTATTAGCCAATACTAAAAAAAATTAACAATTTTCACAAGTTGTGCCTAGCTCTCTCCTCTAGCTCCGTGTCAGTTCCAACACGACACCAAGACACACACATTCAAAACAGAACGGAATACAAAATTTCGTTACTAAAATACTTCAAGCACATATTTCTTTAACATACTTTTAAATTTAATATGATTATCACAATTCTTTATTATATCTGGTAATGCATTAAACATGTTCAACCCCCTATATAAAATTGTTCTATTCAACAACCCAGTTCTTGCAGTTCTAATAAAAAAATCTCCATGTTTCCTTGTGTTGTACGAATGAATTTCACTCACATATTGTACCTTATTACACAAATATTTAGCAGTTGTCTGATTTTTTATTTTAAACACCATATTTAAGGTCTTGAAAATTAATCTTTGTTCAACATTCATTAAGTTTAACACCTCCAGCATTAATTTTATCGGTGTATAACGATTACATTTCAATATAGTACGCATAGCTTTATTCTGTAATTTTTGTATTTTACCTAACTCATTTTGACATAATCCGAATAAAATTGCTGAACAATAATCCACATGGGGACCAATCAATGCTTTATACAACAGGATCCTAGTATTCATAGTAATACTATTACTTATTCTATTTAATAGGTATAATTTCTTAGAGATCTTATTCAAAATCTAATTGCAATGTTTTTGAAAACTCAATTTATCGTCCAAAATGACCCCTAAATACTTAATTTCCCAAACTCTTTCAATATCATGATCATTTATAGTAATTCTATAATCTACCTCATTAATTTTATTCATTATACTGCCCCTACACATAATCATATATTTTGTTTTTTCCAAATTTAACAGCATACTATTACCAGTCATTAATCATTTTTAGTTCTTGATTCATTTGATCACTCATTGAAAAATAGTCAAACCCTTCAATATATAAAACTGTATCATCAGCAAACAATGAAATATGACAGTTATTTACTACTTTAACTATATCAGTCATATATATTGAAAACAATACAGGCCCCAAAATGGTGCCCTGTGGAACCCCATGTTTTAGTGTTTTTAATTAAAAAATCTTTAAAACACTTCTACCGTCTTCCTTTCGAAAACAACTGATTGATTTGAAATATGTACGACTCAATATTGAAGCGGACAGAACAATAAAACGATGGCAGCACGAAAATAAACACGGACGACGGACGCTATTGAAAAATGAACAAATGTTAATTTAGCGCCATCAGTCATAATTATTGGTTCACAATAAACAGTAAGAAACCATTGTATCTACACTTGAGATAATCCGATCGCCGATTGGTCGAATGAAATGTTGTAAAAAATTACACCAATCACGATGCAGTAAAACCAAATGTTGCGTTTTCACGTAGTCTTGATCTTATTGTTTTTTTACCAGAATTAATTGCCAACGTGAAGGAAATAAAATTACTGATCATGTCGCTTGTAAACATTTATGAAGGCTTCGTATGAACTACCCCATTATTTTTTCATGAAGAATTCACACTGTATATCGGTTTTAAAATCACTGATTAACGGAAGAAATTAGCCGTTTCAATCATTTGCTGCTCATTTTGGTCCCTGATTTTTGTATTTTTTTTAACCGAGTGCTATCATTATGAAAAATTTTGATCAAAACACCTACATCATATTTGATATGTTTAAAGATTTCACACCAAGCTATAATATGAAATTGTCGGATCATTGTAAATGAATAACAAAACTAAAGAGAAAAATGAAAAGTCTTTGGACTTACTTATAATCTTCAGATTTTAATTCAATTTCTTCTGTGATAATATGGAATGGACTTTCTATGGTTGTGTTGACAGAAATATTTTTAATTTTCTCTCCCACGTTAAAACAGCCCTTTAAGAAACTCGTGTGGGTGTCCAAAGAATCGATGCAAGCTTTGCACACAACGGGATCTGTGGTGGAAGTCAAGTTCTGCAAGAAAAAATCTATTTCAATTTCTTTTCTGGTATGATAATTCAAACAAAAATTTGTTTAAAAAAATCAAATAACGTAGGTATTTACCACTTCTGGAATATATTGACAGAGTGTATAGACATTCAGTTCTTTTACTGGTGTAAATCCACAGGTGACAACTCGCATACACAAACGACAAATCCTCTCGTCTTCCAACATGTCTTTTAAATGCTCTTTACCTCTTTCCTTTAGATAAATTTCTCTTAGGTCGACCGGCGTCCCCATTTCAGAATCGATGTATGGAAAGATACGGTCCTCGGTATCCGTGCACGTCGCCTTGAAATTGAATGCTGCAAACAGTTTAACGGAACAAGCATTGCACAATATAGATTTGTTCTTTTCTATTTCCTTCTAAAATGTAAAAGATATAAGTAGTGTCTAAAAATCACAGCAGTATTTCTTACTAGTTTCAGCAAAAGAATATCTAAAACTTCTTTAATAGTTTCTTCTATTACTACGAGATTTTCGTCGTTCACGACAATAAGGCAAAGCCTACAGCACTGTTCCTTTTTAAACATGTTTTATAGATTTTCAACGTTAATGCTACTCACAGTATACTAATTAGTTTGATTAGCATACTGTGATGTTACTTAATGTTTTCACACAAAACTACAAAATGTTTCTAGGTTGTACTTTAAGATCGATAGTTGTACCCATGGCGACTACACAGTTGTACCAAAGAAAATTTAGTTACTAGTAAATTATAAAGTATATTGTTCTATGATTTGAACATATAGACAAGTAATTTTCTTTGATGCACAACGACAGAGTTGCAGCGTTTTCGATTTATATGAACTTTTAGAATCATTCCACACGACAGCCATCGCAAGACCCGTTCCGTGGTGCGCTTGACAAAGAATGGGTCGTGTTATACTTGGGTGAATACACCTATCCATATTTTGTTCACAGGCGATCGAATAGTGGAAATAATAAAGTTGACCTAATTATAATTGAAAATATAAATAATCAGACTCTATTTCCACTATTCGGTCATATTAATAAAAATACATTAGGCGTATTCGCTCAAATTTCACACGATCCATGCCATGGCATGCGTCCATGGATCGGATGCGTGTGAAATGACTCATAAAAGTAAGCAACGATCTGACGTCAGACAGGATTGACAGGAATTAAATGGCCATTAGTTCTATTTCCATTCAAACGACGTTAGGTTTCATATTATGTTAGGTTATTGTATCGAATTTTTGTTTTTATTTTTGAAGGAAATATTAAAGTAGTAATGTTGAAGTTAGAAAAAAGCATATGCGAGAAGGATATGTCCTGTGGCCTTTGCCACAGCATCATAAATGATGGAAATTTCGTTGTAATAGAAGAAACAATCGAACAAGTCCTAGATGTTCTTTTGCTGAAACTAGTAAGAAAAGATAAACCTTTGAACATTCTTAAGACAAGCCTGATTCATTTACATTTTAGGACAGTACGGAAAGAGACAAATCCATAATGTGCCACACTTGTTCTAGCAAACTGTTTGCGGCATTTAATTTTAAGGCTACCTGTATGGATACGGAGGACTGTATCTTTCCTTACATTGATTTTGAAATGGGAGCACCTGCCGACCTAAGTGAAATTTATCTGAAGATAAAAGGTAAAGAACATTTAAAAGATATGTTAGAAGACGAGAGGATTTGTCGACTGTGTATGCAGGTAATCACCTGCGGGTTTATGTCAATAAAAAAAGTGGATGTTGATTCATCCCGCATGTACATTCCAGAAGTGGTAAGTACAATATTTCATTTTAGACAGAAACTTTTATTCAAATTATATTCAAGTATATTCGTTTCTCAGGAAAAGAAATTGGAATAGATTTTTTCTTGCAGAACTTCATTTCCGTCAGAGAACCCGTTATATGCGAAGTTTGCCTCGATTCATTGGACACCCACACGAGTTTTATAAGAAACTGTTTAATTCTAAAAGAGAAATTTAAAAATATTTCAAGCGACAAAGCCATAAAAAGTCCCCTATGTTTGACCACAGAAGAAACCGAATTAAAATCTGAAGATTATAAGTAAGTCGAAAGAGCTTCCAATTTTTTGTTGAATTATCCACCATTTAGCATTTTTGTAGTAATCTAACAATTTCATGTTATTACTGAAAGTGAATTTAAATGTTTATTAGGTCGTCAAATTCACTGCTTTAAGGGATCAAAGGTTAAATGTCTTTATAATAAACTTTTAACTTTTGAAACAGAATTTGTCACAAATCTAGAAAATGTTTAGATTTGCATAATTTAATTAGTAGATTATTTAGTTAATGTATAAAAATGAGTTTTCACAATAGTCGATATTATAAAATGTTTCATTTTATTTTACTAAAATAAAAATGTCTATACAGGGTGACTCGAGGTATCCGAAATACTTTGTATTTGAATTCCATGATTAATTTGAAGCAAAAATTATTCTACTCACTATTCGCGAATTCCCAACCGTTTTTGAAATAACACGTTTGAAGTTGCTAGGTCATACGGGTAGTTGCTAAACAGTAAATTGCATTGTAATCTAGTAAATTTTTACTTAAACTTGTTTACTGTACGGATCAAAATGTTTTATTATGCATTACTTTGAATCTTTTCAGTGACTGCTCCTGCGAAGATGAACCTGTTGACAACAAAAGTGATTGCCAATCTGAATATACAGATGCAACAAATAATTCTACGCATAATACCCAAAGAGAACCCACACGAATGGAAGGAAAAAACTTTTGGTTGAAACACCAGGATTCGACTAAGGTGCGGACCAACAATCGCGATTCGGATTATGAAACTAGTCAAAACAGATACCTAGTACTCCACAAAGACATCACCAAAGAACGTGCGTTAACATGTGAATCGTATAACTATAAAACTTTCACCAAGTCCAATCATCACAACGGCAACTTTCCCAAAAAGCAGATGTATAAATGTCATTTGTGTGATTTTAAAACCATTTATAAGAGTAGTCTTGTACGCCATCAACTACAACATAAAGACATGCCCGAGGAGATGTTTAAATGTGATTCCTGCGATTTTAAAACCATTTATAAGAGGAATCTTACGCAACATCGACTAAAACATGAAGACATACCCGAAAAAGAGATGTTCAAATGCTATTCCTGTAATTTTAAAACCATTTATAAGGGCAGTCTTAGAACACATCAAGTAACACATAAAAACATCCCTGAAGGGGAAATGTTGAAATGTGATTCCTGCAATTTTAAAACCATTCATAAGAAGAATCTTATGCATCACCAGTTAAAGCACAAGGCCTTCTCTCAGAAGCTTGAATGCAATTTGTGTGATTATAAAACCTGGTGTAAGATATATCTTACTCAACATCAGCTTAGACACAAAGACAACCCAGAGGAGAATATATTGAAATGTGATTCTTGCGATTTTAAAACCATTTATAAGAGGAGCCTTATGGAACATCAAGTAACACATAAAAACACCCTTGAAGTGGAAATGATGTTGAAATGTGATTCCTGCGATTATAAAACCATTCATAAGAGGAATCTTACTCGACATCTACTAAAACATAAGGACATCACTGAGAAGACGTTGAAATGCGGTTCTTGCAATTATAAAACCATTTATAAGCACAGCTTTACACGACATCAACTACAACACAAAGGCATCCCTGAAAGGAAAATATTGAAATGAGATTCCTGCAATTTTAAAACCATTTCTAAGAGTACTCTTGCGCAACATCATTTAAAACATAAAGACATCCCCGAAGAGCAGATGTTGAAATGGTATTCGTGTGATTATAAAACCATTTATAAGAGTAATCTAACACAACATTTGTCGAGACATAAGATATATGTTTATTAGCTCCAGTCAGCCACTGATTTTATAAATAAATAAAATTCCTATAAAACGTAATTATTTTAGTTTTTGGTTTTGGAAAATTTTGAATTGCTATTATCTTTTCTTTTGATGGTAAAATGCCTTTTGAATAAATAGTATGACCTAGAAATGTTAATTGTGTTACTCCAAACTCACATTCTGAAGGTTTAATATTTTGCTAGCAATTAAAATAAACGAATACGAAATTTAGACCAGAAGTAACTTCATTTATGAATCTCTGAAATGTCTCTGCTGCGTTTCTTAGACCGAAAGGCATTCTTATAAAATCAAATAAACCAAAAGGTGTTGTTATTGCAATTTTATATATATATCTTCTTCAGCTACCAGTATTCGATGATATGCTCTAACTAAATCAATTTTTGAAAAAATTTTACAGCCATGTATATGTAAATTAAAATCGTGAATCATTTAATTGTCTATAGTCTCTACAAGAACACCAATCGTTTGGGTCTTTCTTTGGGATCATGTGTAATGGTGAAGCTACTGATGAAGATGATGGTCTGCAAATACCGTATTTTACCATTTCTTCAAATTCTGTTTTTGCTATTTTAAATTTTGTGTAATCTAATCGACGTGCTTTTGAAAAAGGTAAATGATTGTTTGATATAATGTGATGTTTAATGTTGTGTTGTATTGGTTTAGAGCAGTCTGGAGGGTCCTCACTGTTCCTTGTATTTATATCTTTGAAATATGTGTCTATGTTTTTAGGAATAGAAGCAGATTTATTTATTCAATTACTTGCCTGTTGAAATTAAACGTACTGTCGGTGAACATCTATTTAAAAGTAAATTGAAACAATTTCTAGTAAGTGTTATTACTCTGTATGTGAATTTTATCTGATGTTACGTAGTGTTTCCTATTTATTTATTTAATCATTGTATACTGTATATTTTACTTTATTTGTTTTTGACAATTCCTGCATATATGTACGATATGAGAATATCTTTTATAATAAAGACATTTTACAAATATCAATAATAGTTAAATTACAGTTTTCCATAGTTACATCTTAGTTTATTGCGCCCCACCCATGATCACGAATGGTTAGATTTATACTTATTTTTATTATTATTATTTGTTGAAATAACTTCTCTTGTAAAACTATAAATCAACAAGTAAATTCAATTTACATTGTTTGTGCGAAGCATTTTAAATGTTGGCCTCTTTCCTGATTTTACCGTCGTCCCGAGTAAGATTTGAAGTTTAAGTGACCCGAGAAACCTAGGAATTCGATGGGTTACTGGTGCCTTTACTTTTAAATTTTACCAAACACCGTCAGAATGTCATTAATTTTAAGGGAAGATATGGAAAAATGAGTAGAATGCGATTAAAAAATTCTTAAAATGTATACTTGCGCTGGAAAAATATATTTTCAAATCATTGTTCAATCCCCTTTTCGGACCGCTCTCGACTGCTGACTCACAAAAGTTTATCGAGAGTGAATTTTAATTTACCGTATTATTCGGTTACTAACCTAGTTTTTACTGCGGTTTTAATGTGTAGTGAACGAACTAGACACACGAATGAATAAGATACTTTTTTATATTCTAAATTTTAACAAGTGTTACTTATTTCTTACTGAAAACCATAAGGATTAAAATTTATTTTCGAAGGTTAGGTTGTCACAATGTAGTATTTTTAATATTAATAACATTTTCACTATGTTTTAGAAATACACAATTGGTACTTTTCGCAATATTTGCAAAGCAATCGTTGATTTTCCAAAACAGCAAAAAGTCATTTGTTGCAGTTTTTTCAAATTAATGCAGATTATATAAAAAAAAATCTGAAACTAAATTTTGGAAAATTTACCGTTTTAATTTTTTGCCGAGTTTAGTTCTCCGATAGTGAATGGTGTTATAGTAAGATAGGTACGGTATTAATAAAATCAGCATGTATAGTTAAATTTTATTTAATTCATTCAAGCCTACAATTCAAAAATTATAAAGTACTTCCAAACTTCATGAAGAAATACAGGAAAATTAGAACATGTTCTAATTTGTGTAGACTTGTATTTTAACTGTGGGAATAATTCACAGCGTAAATTAAGTCAGGTGAGTAATTTTTCAAAATTACAAATATTTATGGATATAAATTTTTTAATTTAGATATACATTTTGAAAACCACTTGAATTTGCTATCAAAAAATTGTTAATAATAAAACCTCAATCTTTTGGCTTCAAAAATAGAAACTTGCGATAACCTTCCCATCCATATGTATACAACTCATATTTACAAAATAAATAATTTAGAACAGGAAAACAGACATCAACACTTCATTAGCTTACATCTTATTCCAATATTTAGGAACATATATTATCATATCCACATTTGTAGCTCTTAAATGCTTCCATTTTTGATATTTTGCACGAGACACAAAGGGCAGTAATTCACGCCTGCAAACATTTTTGTGCATCATTTGAAGTCTCCTCAAAAACTCGTTATGCATAGAGTTTAGCAAAACATAGCACTATGATTGTATTTAAGAAGGCACTTTATACTTCAACACGTGATTTTCAATACCACTCGTGTATTTAGTTTCGTAATTGCAGTCGTTATACCTGTACAATTAAACCTGCGATGGATCTCTATGCCTTAGTTGGTGTTGTTTGATAGCTTTTTTATATTTGGTTTCAAAATCGCAATCGTTACACTTGTACATTTGAACCTGTGATGGATCTTTATGTTTCAATTGGTGTTGTTTCATATGGCCGCTGTATTTAGTTTTGTAATTGCAATTGTTACACCTGTCCATCTGAACCTGAGAAGGATCCTTATGTATCACTTGATGCCTTTTGATATATTTCTTAAATTTAGTTTCATAATTGCAGTCATTGCACTTGTACAATTGGACCTGTGTAGTATCTTTATGTGTCAGTTGATGCTGCTTGATGACACTCTTGTATTTAGTTTTGTAATCGCAGTCGTTACACCTGTACATTTGAACCTGTGATGGATCTTTATGCTTCAATTGGTGCTGTTTGATGTAACTCTTGCATTTTGTTTTGTAATCGCAGTCATTACACTTATACATTTGAACCTGTGATGGATCTTTATGTTTCACTTGGTGCTTTGTGAGAGCATTCTTGTATTTAGTTTTGTAATCACAGTCGTTACATCTGTACATTTGAACCTTCGTAGGATCTTTATGTTTCAGTTGATGCTGTTTCAAATGACTGTTGTATATAGTTTTGTAATCACAGTCGTTACACCTGTACATTTGAACCTGCGAAGGATCTTTATGTTTCAGTTGATGGCGTTTGATATTATTCTTGTATTTAGTTTCGAAATTGCAGTCATCACACCTGTATATTTGAACCTGTGACGGATCTGTATGCTTCAGCTGGTGCAGTTTGATGGTTCTTTTATATTTGGTTTCATAATCGCAATCGTTACACCTGTACATTTGAACCTGTGATGGATCTTTATGCTTCAATTGGTGTTGTTTACGTTTACGTCCATCCTCTTCTGCAACTTTACAGTTACTCTTCTCGAATGGTTCATTATCGGAGCTCTCAGATAGCGTGTCGCTGAAAAAAATTGCATATACAGGTTGTTACAAATTCGCTTCTCACTACAAGGATCTTGGAAACGGTAAGAGATACGAAGTAATTTAAATGGGGGCAAAGTTGCGTAATCAGGGGACCCACATTATGCCTCTAAAAAATCAAGGCTAACATGATTATTTTTCAAAATATTTGAAAATATCCCGAAATTTTGGAAATCCGTTTTTGTTTAATTTTAGCCTTGTTTGAGGTGGCATTGAAAAGGAAGAACACCTCCTCATGGCAACTTTTTACTTTTTATCGAATGGCATAATCAATTTTTATATGTAACATTTCGTCTGTCCAAGACCATCATCAACTTCATTTTTTTAAATACGGCCCAACACTGTACTGCCTTGGCCCAAATTAGATTCTGACCTTTTGTCTCAAAAAATTAATCTTCTATGTATTCGTTCTAAATTTATCTAAATTCTCTCTAAGTGTCATTAGACCCTGTGAAATCCACCTAGTTATTTAAACTATTACCATCACGCGTTACAACAAAACATTATTAGAATTTTAATTAGTTATTACTAGGTTGCATCGAATTATGTGTGATCCGGTGACGGAGATTAAATCTTTAATGTTTTATTGTAACGCATGATGGTAATAGTTTTATTAACTAGGTGGATTTCACAGGGTCTAACGACACTTACAGTGTACGATAGTTCAATAAACAAAGAAATCTGTATAAAAAATTTAGATAAATTTGGAACGAATAGTGATGGTCCTGGAGAGACGAAACGTTACATATAAAAATAGATTATGCCAATCGATAGACGGTAAAAAGTTGCCAGGAGGTATTCTTCTTTTTTCAATATTACCTCAAACAGGGCTGAAATGAAATAAAAACGGATTTCCAATATTTCGGTCTTTTTCAAATAATTTGAAAACTAATGCAACGATTTTTTAGAGGCATTATGTTGTACCCCTGATTACATAACTTTGCCCCATTCGTATATATTCGTATCCCCACTTCGTTTCTCTTACCATTTCCGAGATCCCTGTAGTGAGAAATGAATTTGTAACAGCCTGTACAGGGTATTTTCCAAAACAAGGTTTAAATTTTAAGAGGTTACGGGTAATGTCAAATGCATTTATAAGTGTCAAAACTGTACATGGCATTATTTCGATTTTATGATGAAATATGTTAATGATGGTTATGAAAATAATTAAGTGAAATTCCTAAGGAATTCGAGAAAAAAATACTAGAGAGAAAAATAAGAAACTGAAATTATAAGGTTACCTGCAAAAAATATGTGTTGGTATTTTCGGAATTCTCGAAGTTTCTACAACTTTTGTCTAAAATATTTTTTTCTAAAATGTTTAGTTTTTTTTAATTCTTTTCTTTTAATGAAAAACTTGTTTGCAAAATTTGGCCGCCATTTTGAAAATGAAGCCCTAGCATTCAGCTGGGGTAGAGTAGTTCATTCAATTCTAGGGAATTTTTCCTAATTTTTACGTGTCTTTGTTTACTGAACTAAATTTTGACACGTACAAATTTAATTTCAAACCATTTCTTTTAATGCTAAAATAGTCTTCCCTTACCTTCCTTCCTCGTCTTCAGATTTTATGTCGACACATTCAGTTTTGATTGATATTTCTGTCTCGTTATTATCGAATTCCCTGTCCAAGTTTTCAGTCTTAACGAATAAATCAGATGGTGACGTTTCTATTTGACCTTCTGTGACTGAATTATCACAAACTCCATTAATTTTTTCTTCTACCTCTGAGCAATCTTTTAGGAAACTGTTGTTAGTGCACAGGGAATCCAAGCATGGCTTGCAAACAACGGGATCTTTGATGATATGTATATTCTACAAAGCAGTTTTGTTACAAAATATGCAAGTGTTTAATATCATTCATACCATTTGAGGAGCCAATTTCTCAATAGCTTCAAGTTCCTCTTCCCGTATGCACCTAAACTCACTTTCTACTGGGTACATACACAATCGACATATTTTCTGATTGTCTGAAATTGTCTCGCTTCTCTTTTCCTTCCTGTACACTTCTCTTAAGTCGAGCTGTAACATTTTTTCGCAATCCACATATGGAATAATTATGTTATCGGTATTCAGACACGTTGACTTGAATTCTAATGCTGCGTATAATTTTCTTTTGCAAGCACTACATATAACCTCCTTGCTCACATCATCCAATTTCTGAAATATATGCATTTTATTCAAACAGAATGACAATAACTATGTCACAAAATAACGTTCTCGAATTGAAATAGTAGAAACCAATCTTTCAATGACTTACCAATTTCAGCAAAAGAACATCAAGAATATCCCTGATAACGTTGTTTATTGCTTCAAAACTTTTATCGACTATAATTTTAAGGCAAAGCCTACAAGAAGTTTCTCGAACACTAGTCATTACAACAATTTCCCTTAAAAAGGTAAGTTAAGTACAAAACAATGATGTGACTTGTATCGGTTGTTTAACCTCAATTAAAACATAGTATGCCGACTTGCTGACAGTTAGTATTCTTCTTCCTCTTCCATACTTAGAGGAATAGAAATGATAAAAGTTAGTTAATAATTATTCTACTCAGGTTTTTCTTGAACACCTAATCCAACTATTATTAGTAACTAACGAATTATTGCAAAAAAAACCAAACAACTCTGAAAGATTTAATTAAATTCGCATGTGAACAAACATGAATCCTGAAGGTTACTTATTGGAGGAAACTTGTGACGTAGCATGAGTTAAGCCACGCCCATAATTTCAGTCTATTACCTACCTCATTTTTAATATTATTTAATTTTAAAAAAGGTACTTTTTTGCTTGCCGAGGGCTACATTTACAGCAAGTAACAAATTTCAGAACCTTAATTTGCAAGAGATACAGCAAAATAAAAAAAAGTCGATTTTTGATGGTTTTTCGATATATTTCGAAAAGTAATATAGCAATCGATATATTTAAAAATCGAATCTATAGGTTTTTTAATAGCTTCAACTTTCTCATTTAACTTTTTTCGATTGGAGTTCAAGTTTTTATTTTATTAGTGCAAAATCGTTTTTACTTTTAATTTTTTTAGGTTAACTTCGCCTTTTATGTGCCACAGGAAAAAAAAACTACCTTTTTTTATTAGAATTTTTTTCTTATATCCACCATATTTTTTGTTTCCAGGTGGTATTTTTTGTAAATTTAACATAAGGCCGTGTCAGATTGATTGGACTATATTACACTGTTTGAACCTCAGAGTAATAAGTACAGGGGAGGCCGCATTCCCTATTTCAGTACACAATGTAAACATGTAACCTCAACCTATTGTATGTTGATAAACAAATGATACACATGTATCATTTGTTTATCAACATACAATGTTGATAAACAAATGATACATAAGTAAACACAATGGTCCCTAGTACAGTGGCGTACCGAGTTTAGGTTTAAAATCTATTATAATATAAGGAAACCATAAAAAATATACTTTTTAATAGAATAAAATCGGAAGTGCTCGATTACTTAAGCTTTCATGTGTAATAAATAGACAATAAATAGGAAAAAGTTAATGATTTCTTCAAAATCTATAATTAATATTTTAAAAACATTTCCAGAACAAAAGAGTGACTAAAGAAAACTCCTCGATTGAAACTATCATTATACTATAGCTATAGCAATGTCATTGCCCGCTATTAGTCCTATTATTTCATAGTAGTTCTCGATTACTGGAAGAACTACATTTATTAAAATAAATAATTTAAATAAAACTACAAGAAAAGGAGCAAAAATATATTTCCTTGAAATCTGCTGGAATATAAACAATGCAAAGAAAACAAAACATATTTGTATTAAAAGTAACGGAAAAATGAATTTACATTGAACAACATTTAATCGTATGGGAAAATAAGCATGTTTTAAATGTACGCAACAAAAATAAGCTGAATTTTGAGCTCATAGCATTTACAGCTCGTCTCTTATGGAACAGGGACATGTGATTGAAGATGTTTTATAGCAACATCTATAGAATTTTCTTCACTGGCAATTTCTCGAAGGGGGAACCTTTGAGACGACACAACCATTTCATCAACACTGTGCTAAAACGTATTACCTTCCAAATGTTGTATTAATAGGGGCAGCTCCATGTGTGAGACATCGTTTTCCAGTTACTGTTACCTTAATATCTGTGGCACGGAAATGCTTCGACAGACATAATTATCCTTTGAAAAATCATATTCAGATATGGCGAAATTTTCTAGCCACACTGCTCGTATCGCAGGATCTTATGGTATTCTACAAATAAACACAGAGCTAGTGGCAGTATCAAAATACAAATATTATAAATTAACAAATAAAATACTTAGGACACCTTACACCCTTGTAAGAACGCCCATGGAAACAATGTCAAACTTACTTGTGAAAAGAAGTAGCACATATTTGGCTCTTTTCCTGTAACTGTCGGCATATTATACACCGCTTTGACATTTTTATTGAAATTAAATAGAAAAACACAGTTTAAAAAGACACAAAACACTGAACTCGGCTAATATCTATTTCACAACAATAGACTGTAATAATGGCGTCCCCTTTTGAACCGTTTAATACCAGCAATGATGCCACTTACAGCGTTTGTATTGCTAGGAATTTCAATAATGTATTTTTTTTCAGATATTCAAAATCTATAATTATAAAACAAGTTGCAAGATAATAGTGTCGTAGTCTTATGCATATTACAATGTAACTAATTTGTAAGTCGAGGTCAAGAATGAGGTAGATCCTTGTACGATAATCAATTAAAATGACCGCTGTACCTAACTATAAAGATAAAAATGTAACATTGGCATCAACGTCAAGGACGTCACAAGTACCAATGTTTGTAAATACACATTATGTCAACACTTCACTATCGAATGTAAATAAAGGCGTCCCCTTTATTTATTAGTCTGAGTTACCTACTCGACCGTCTCTTTTACGGACTTTGCTATGTGCACTAGTGATGGGAATAATCGAATGAATTAAATAATCGAGAGGTTACCGTTCGAATTAATTTTATAATCGAATGATCATTCGAATGTTATATAATCCAAAGTTCACTGACGACTATTTCAAACATCCATGGTCTCTTCTGTAGGTACTTTAAAAAAAACGTACCTACTCTTTATTAATCTTTTTCTACTTTATAAAGTTCTTTTCTTCTCAAAAAAAAAACACATCGTTAACACATAAAATTCACCAGAGTACTTTAGGTATAACGTGAATCGTTTTTGTTCCAATTCATTCTTGAATTGTTGTTAAATTATTTTGAAAAATGGTTGCCCGTTTAAGCAAACAGAATTGAAATTTTAGTTATGATTAAAACGTTTGAAGAAATCGGAAGTATAAAAATTTATCTGGATCAGGTGAAGAACGGTAAGCGAAAATGACCGTCAAAATGTGATGCTTGCCGTTACTGAAAATCCTCTGCTCATCTATTAGATCTATCTCGGCCAACTTTAACTTGCCGAAGTTCACAGAACTCTGAAGTCTCAACGGCATCCTTATAAAGAACTCTGGGCAGATAATACAGACGGAAGATTACAGTTTTGCCAAGAAATTAGAAATTTATTTGAAAGACGACCCAACTTAGAAAATCACAACTTTCACACAACTGCTATAATAAATGATGAAAAAAAGAATCATTACTGTTAACATAGTTGTCCGATGTGGAACAGTCTTATAGTACGATAGGTACGGTATTACATATAAAATCAGCATGTATAGTTAAATTTTATTTAATTAATTCAGGCCTACAATACAAAAACTATAATAGGGTTTAAACCTTATTTCTAAGTCTTAAAATATCACTAACAAAATACAATAGTGTGTTACTTACAGCTGCCTTAGAGTGAGAATTAATTCATGAATAAATTCAAGAAGTTTTTCATGAATTAACTCATCGGTTTTTTCATAATAGGTCACATACGTTTGGTTTTATATTGTTCTAAACTTTGTGGATTTCTTTGAAATATAGACAGATTGAAAATAAACACATTTTCGTGAATAAATTGAGATAACATGAAAAAAAAATGGTAATCATACTTTGCCAGTTTAAGTATCTCTAATTATAACGAATTAAAAATAATTTAACCTCGATATTTTTGATGGTACTTCCAAACTTCATGAAGAAATACACGAAAATTAGAACATGTTCTAATTTGTGTAGACTTATTTTTTAACTGCGGGAATAATTCACAATGTAAATTAAGTCCAGTGAGTAATTTTTCAAAATTACAAATATTTTTGGATATAAATTTTTTTAAATTCGTCTATTTAGATATATAATTTGAAGACCGCTGTTTACATGGAAAGGTAATGATCTTATATACGAATTTGCCGTATTATTAACAATAAAACCTCAATCTTTTGGTTTAAAAAATAGTAACTGGTTTTAAGGACTTAAAATTAAATTATGAATTAATAATCCACGTTTAATTCATGATAATAAAAACCGTAAACAATGGAAGAATTCATTTGAACAAGTTAAATCCTACAACAAATATTTAAACGCCTACCACCTGTTCAAAGAAAATTAAGGTAGTCGGTACAAAATACATTTAGCGAGTTGCCATAGCCTTCCCATCCGCATGTACAAAACTCAAATTTACAAAATGAATAATTTAGAACAATGTTAACAGACATCAACACTTCACTAACTTACATCTTATTCCAACATTTACGAACATATATTATCATATTCACATTTGTAGCTCTTAAATGCTTCTATTTTTGATATTTTGCACGACACACAAAGGGCAGTAATTCAGGCCTGCAAACATTTTTGTGCATCAAAAACTCGTTATGCATAGAGATTAGCAAAACACAGCGCTACATTTGTATTTAAGAAAGCTCTTTGTGCTTCAACACAAATTGATATTTAATACCACTCCTGTATTTAGTTTCACAATCGCAATCGTAACACTTGTACATTTCAACCTGAGATGGATCTTTGTGCTTCAATCGGTGTTGCTTCATATGGCAGCTGTATTTATTTAGTTACGTAATTGCAGTCGTTACACCTGTACATTTGAACCTGGAAGGTATTTTTATGTTTCAGTTGGTGCTTTATAATATAACTCCTGAATTTAGTTTCATAATCGCAGTCGTTACACCTGTACATTTGAACCTGCGATGGATCTTTATGTTTCAACTGGTGGTTTTTGATATGATCCTTGTATTTAGTTTCGTAATCGCAGTCGTTACACCTGTACATTTGAACCTGTGATGGATCTTTATGTTTCAATTGGTGTCGTTTCATATGATTGGTGTATTTAGTTTCATAATCGCAGTAGTTACACCTGTACATTTGAACCTGTGATGGATCTTTATGCTTCAATTGGTGTTGCTTCATGTGGAAGCTGTATTTAGTTCCGTAATTGCAGTCGTTACACCTGTACATTTGAACCTGGGAAGTATTTTTATGTTTCAGTTGGTGGTTTATAATATTACCCTTGAATTTAGTTTGGTAATCGCAGTCGTTACACCTGTGCATTTGAACCTGTGAAACATCTTTATGCTTCAGTTGGTGCTGTGTGACAGCACTTTTATATTTGGTTTCATAATCGCAATCGCTACATTTGTACATTTGAACCTGTGATGGATCTTTATGTTTCAACTGGTGCTTTTTGATATGACCCTTGTATTTAGTTTTGTAATCGCAGTCGTTACACTTGTACATTTGAATCTGAGAAGGATCTTTATGTATCAGCTGGTGCCGTTTGATATCACCCCGGTATTTAGTTTCATAATTGCAGTCGTTACATATGTACATTTGAACCTGCGAAGAATATTTATACCGCAACTGGTGCCTTTGAAGTAATTTCTTATTTTCAGTTTTATAGTCGCAGGTTTCCCACTTGTACACTTCCGAATCTTTCCCACATCTAGCACAGTGTGCCGCAAAATGGATCTTACTTCCAGTTTCATAACGACACTTTTCACATCTGTACAATTCATTGTGCTTCTGCTTATTTTTCATATTATATTTGTTCGGCGATCTATCCTCGTACTTACATCCATCCTCTTCTTCATCTTTACAGACACTCTCCTCAAATGGTAAGGTATCGGAACTCTCCAGTGGCGTGTCGCTGAAAAAATTAGCATATACAAGTACAGGGTATTTCCCAAAGCAAGGATTTAATTTTAAGAGGTCATAGGTTGATTTATTATTTCAGAGTGTACAGCGAGCAATGTTAGAGCTTTGATCACGCGCTCCCAGAGAACTCCAAATAGTCATCTAATAACCGAACGATTCGCATTCGAGGGTAGCGATTCACGGTCCTGCTCAAATGGCAATAATGCCATTCCGATTAAATTTTAACAATAAAAAAAAAGATCTACATTTTTCGACAAGAAAATAAGAAGTCGGTATCGGTAGATTTTTCGCATATTTCCAATTATTTTGCATAACGTGCACAATTTGCACCGGAAGGTACAATTCTTAGAGAAAAATTTTAAGTCTACCATGGGTCACGAAAGTGCATTATTGTATGATTTATTGAAACTTGAAAAAATGTATTTTTTTCGAAAAACTCAATTTTTGCAATAAAAATGCAATTTTTAGCCGTTTTTTTGCAATAACTAATACATTTGGTTATAGATTGACATCGGACAGTGCTCAAAGCTTTTGTTATAAAAAGTTCTATGACTGTTGTCTAAAACATTTTTTTCTAAAATGTTTAGGTTTTTTTTTAAATGAAACCCTAACATTTAGCTGAGGTAAAGTAGTTCGTACAATTCTACGGAATTTTTCGGTGTCATTGTTTCCTGAACTAAAGGATCCAGGCATAATCTTATGGAAATTGGCTTTCAGCGAAATCATCTCAATTTTTGATATGAGATAGGTCTTATCAATCTGACCAAAATTCCCAATGGCCACAACCCCCGGTAATGCCTCTTTTTACCTCTAGAGGGCGGTTAATCCCAAGTTCGCCATTATTCCATGGCTAGAAATTGGCCTCAATGATTTGGGATCGAGGGGGATTATCCCTCTTTATCCTGCCTCATCTCGTGTAGGCCTGGACAACCCCAAGTTGATCCAACTAGTGGTGCTCCTAAAGCAGTCACAACAATTCTTCGCTATCATACTCAATGGTTAAAATTACAAGTTTAAAAAAAAAAATCAGCACAAAACCAAAATGTTTGAAATTTTATAACTCACTTGATAATTAAATAAAAAAACTTTTTAATAACAAATTGAAAATTTTTTTTTAAGATTAATATTTTTCATAATAAATTTCTAACAAAAACGTTATTTTTTCAAGATTTAATGAATCATTGACTCTTAGTCAGAAATAATGCACTAATTTTTTTTCGATGTAACCAAACACGCTTACGACTAATAAAAAACTAGAAAAATAGTTTAAAACATTCTCTATTCATGGAAACTCAAATTTGTTTAAATTTCCCTGAAACTCATAAAATAAATTGAAATTTTCCGAATTATTAATAAAAAACTTAAAATTGGCATGCATTGAAGTTTGACGATGAATATCTTTTAAACGCTTTATTTAATCGATTAATCATAAGACACCATTTTTGTAGAGCAGTTAATTTCCTACAAAACTATGAATTGCGCATTTCATAATGATTTTTTGTTAACGAGTTATAAAATTCATAAGCAAAACCTCAACCTTTAATATCTTTTAAACGGTGAGGTGTACGAAAAAATTGAAAGTGACCTTTTTTGTAGAGAGTTCAATTTCCTACAAGTATATGAGGAGAGATATTTTTAACGAACAGTTGATAGAAGATATGATTTTTTTTTCTAATATTGAGGAAAAAACGGAAAACTGTAAAGCGGAGGACCTTCCTATTAAAATTAAGAGCTCATATTTGGAGAGAATTTTCTAGAGGTGTCTAGGAACCTATTTTTTAGAGTATAAAGTAAAAAAAAATTTGTCGATTTTTTTGACCCACCCTAATGTTAATGATGGTTATGAAAATAATTAAGTGAAATTCCTAAGGAATTCAAGAAAAAAATAGTAGGGAGAAAAATAAGGAACTGAAATTATAAGGTTACCTGCAAAAAATATGTGTTGGTATTTTTTCGATTCCTCCAAATGTAATTACTTTTGTTACTATTAGTCCAGGCGGTATCTGTTCTAAAAAGTGTATACTTGGGTAAAATGCATATGATCGGAAATTTTTGCTTTAATGGCTTCTAAATAACATCAGAAATGATAATTTTTCTATGCAAATAAAAAAAACGTGGCCTTAATTGTTGTTATTGCAAAAAAGTATAAAAAAATAGCAAAAAAATTCATTTTTTTCTTCGTCGACAACTTAAGCAACCATTCGTTTTAGACAAAAATGGAAGAGGAAAAAAGGTTTGTAATTAAATTTTGAACAAGATAGAGTTACAGTCGCAACTTACAAGTATTACCTGGTCCTGAATATTAATATAGTAAATAAATAAACATAATAAATAAATTATTTTTTAAAGTAACTGTTTATTGGCATGTCAAAAGTCCAATAATTAATAATAAAAGGTAGTTGAAAATATGGTAATTGAATTTTTTAAGTTGCAAGACATCGATTTAAAAAAAATCATCGAAATTGGTCCATTAGAAACTGAGATAATTGAAATTTTTCTGAGCGTCGCAGTTTTGAACGTGAGAATTCAGATTGGAGTAGCTGAGTGTTTGCTCCCCTCACCACTGATACTTTACTGATTTAACGCGGTCTTGAATATCTTTGAGTGACATTTTAAATGGGTCGCCCGTGATTGCAAATTTTGAAAATTTATATCTGGAAAGTACTCGGAATGACAAACCTATTAGTTCAAAAAACGGACCTTATACTCATAGTTTTGCTGTAAATAAGGGTTAGCTTTAACGGGCTATAACTCTGAAAATAATGGGCATATTATCAGGTTTCTTTTTTAAATACTCGTCTTTCCGAGTACTTTCAAAGCATATTTTAAAATTAAAAAAATTTGAAAAAACATTAAATTATTGCAATAGTTTATAAGCGTGAAAATTGCGAAAATGTTTAAACAATCACCAAGGCTCACCTAATCGTCCCATTCGAATTTTTCAAAAAGCATTTTAAAGCTTGAGAGCTCTTCTGTTTGTGGTGAAACTTTCAAGTATTCAAAGGCTTTAGATTTTTAGAAACAATTATGTAAAAACTATCGAACCAAATTGGTGAAATTTGGTGTGACGATTCTATGCACTAAGAAGTTTAATTGGGAAAGTATGAAGATCCTAGGTATTATTCAAGTGTCTGAAAAAATTGACAAATAAACTAGCATTTTTTGCAATTTTTTAAATGATTTCAGATTTTTGTAACAATAATTATTTTTTCGAATTGCAACTAACTCCATCTTGTTCAAAATTTAATTACAAAACTTTTTTTCCTCTTCCATTTTTGTCTAAGTTGCAAAGTTGTCGACGAGAAATCCAAGAAAAAAATGAATATTTTTGCTATTTTTTATACTTTTTTGCAATAACAATTAAGCCCACGTTTTTTTAATTACATAGAAAAATTATCATTTCTGATGTTATTTAGAAGCCGTTAAAGCAAAAATCTCCGATCATATGCATTTTACCCAACCCGAAACAGATACCGCCTGGACTATATGTCAATTTTCATTTAAATGTTTTGTCAACTTTGATGTCTTTTAACAAAACAAAGCAATTTAGCACATAGGAATTAATGAATTTGCTGTAACTAATACATTTGTTTATCAATTGACATCGGATTGGGCTCAAAATTTTTCTTATAAGTTCTACAACTTTTGTCTAAAACATTTTTTTCTAAAATGTTTAGTATTTTTAATTCTTTTTTTATAATGAAAAACTTGTTTGCAAAATTTGGCTGCCATTTTGAAAATGAGGCCCTAACATTCAGCTGGGGTAGAGTAGTTCATTCAATTCTAGGGAATTTTTCCTAATTTTTACGTGTCTTTGTTTACTGAACTAAATTTTGACACGTAAAAATTTAATTTCAAGCGCTTTACCATTTCTTTTAATGCTAAAATAGTCTTCCCTTACCTTCCTTCCTCGTCTTCAGATTTTATGTCGACACATTCAGTTTTGATTGATATTTCTGTCTCGTTATTATCGAATTCCCTATCAAAGTTTTCAGTCTTAACGAATAAATCAGATGGTGACGTTTCTATTTGACCTTCTGTGACTGAATTATCACAAACTCCATTAATTTTTTCTTCTGCCTCTGAGCAATCTTTTAGGAAACCGTTGTTAGTGCACAGGGAATCCAAGCATGGCTTGCAAACAACGGGATCTTTGATGATATGTATATTCTACAAAGTAGTTTTGTTACAAAATATGCAAGCGTTTAATATCATTCATACCATTTGAGGAGCCAATTTCTCAATAGCTTCAAGTTCCTCTTCACGTATGCACCTAAACTCACTTTCTATTGGGTACATACACAATCGACATATTTTCTGATTGTCTGAAATTGACTCGTTTCTCTTTTCCTTCCTGTACACTTCTCTTAAGTCGAGCTGTAACATTTTTTCGCAATCCACATATGGAATAATTATGTTATCGGTATTCAGACACGTTGACTTGAATTCTAATGCTGCGTATAATTTTCTTTTGCAAGCACTACATATAACCTCCTTGCTCACATCATCCAATTTCTGAAATATATGCATTTTATTCAAACAGAACGACAATAACTATGTCACAAAATAACGTTCACGAATTGAAATAGTAGAAACTAATCTTTCACCGATTTACCAGTTTCAGCAAAAGAACATCAAGAATATCCCTGATAACGTTGTTTATTACTTCAAAATTTTTATCGGCTATAGTTTTAAGGCAAAGCCTACAAGAAGCTTCTCGAACACCACTCATTACAACAATTTCCTTTGAAATGTAAGTACGAAACAGTGACGTGACTTGTATCGGTTGTTTAACCTCAATTAAAACATTGGATGCTGACGGTTTCTATTCTTCTTCCTCTTCTATACTCGGTGGAATAGAAATGATAAAAGTTAGTTAATAATTATTCTACTCAGGTTTTTCTTGAACACCCAATTCAACTAGTATTAGTAACTAACGAATTATTGCAAAAAAAACCCAAACAACTCTGAGATTTAATTAAATTCGCATGTGAACAAACATGAATCCTGAAAAAATTAGAACATGTTCTAATTTGTGTACTTATATTTTAACTGTGGGAACAATTCACGGTGTAAATTAAGTCCAGTGAGTAATTTTTTTAAATTACAAATATTTATGGATATAAATTTTTTTAAATCCGTCTGCTATCAAAAAATTATTAATAATAAAACCTCAATCTTTTGGTTGCAAAAATAGCAACTTGATCGTTGACACATTTGCGGCATTCTTCTGCGACGCATTCGTTTTCTCTGATGAATTTAATAACACTGTGGAAAGTAACAATTGTCATGTATTACATTTGACGAAAATCTCCGAGTCCGATATTATGAAGGCAATTAAAAGACTAAAAAACAATATGTGTATGTACCCTGACCTAATTCCAGCATTTATTAGATGTAATCTTCTGCAAACAATCATACACTTGCATCTGGTGAATTTCCTGATGTCTGGAAAGTATCGCGTATAACGCCTGTCCACAAGAACGGAGCAAAAAATGAATTCTCAAATTATAGGCCGATTGCTATCTTAAGCAATTTTTGTAAGGTGTTTGAGACTATTTTGCACAACTTTATATCATCCCATACTTCAAATATAATTATCCCTGAACAGCACGGGTTCATACGAGGACGGTCAACAATTTCAAACTTACTGTGTAAGACACAATATATTTCTGCAGCTCTTGATGTCGGAAGTACTGTCAAATAAACTTAGCACCGTAGGTCTATGTAAATGGTTTAATACACTTCTGCAAAAAATTAAGGGAGCAAAAAAATTTTTCGAATTATTAGTGATTTTTCAGAATGCTGTATCTCAGTTAAAAATGATCGTATTAAGGTTTTAAAAAAAGCATTTTAAAGCGCCGAATGTCTAGTTTCCAGATTTCTTAGTTAAAAATTTTTAGTCATCATAGTCATCGCGAAATTCTAAGAAATAAGACTAAAAATTTTTTTTTCAATTTTTTGCGTTTTTTTCTCGGTCCACGGGCTTGGAAAAATTTTTTACACAAAAATCATGATATGGACTTGATAGCCTGTTCATTCAGCTTTAATTTCTTTTTTTAAATTTTTCTCTACGTTAATTTGACCCGGAGATATTCGACTACGAATACAAAAGCATCCTTTTGGCTTTAACCATCGATATCTCAGCAACTAATGATCAGACAGAAAATTGACGGGCAGTTTCGAAATCTCGAATAAATTTCCTACAAGGCTATGTAGCGTTCTTGGAAGAAAAAAATTTTCTTTCATCCTCGACATTAACTTGAAAAAAGTGAAAAAAAGTGACTTTTTGACTTGTTTTGCTAAGTCGACCGCATCTTTGCTAATATCGATGGAGAGTCTAATGCTTGTACGAATTTTTACACCTCGATGTACCCCCAAAAGCTCCGTAAATGGGCAGATCGATCTATCGAACGGTTTTTCCGGACCGCTTAATCAAAATTTCAGAAAAATTTAAAGGAGCAAAATTTACATTTCTGAGCACCCTGTAACGTTCGTAAAAATGAAAAATTTGATTTTTTTTCAATTCTTTCACAATTGGGCATTTTTTGCTCATTGAATTTGAAAAAAAAAATAATTTTTGAAAAAAAAACTTTTTTTTTAATTTTTGAAAATTTTTTGAAAATTTACTCTTTTTTATTTTTTAACAACTCAAGATAAAAATATTGAGTCATTTTTGAAGCGATGTACTCTTTCCGTACCGTAATTTCCTTTATTTTGAATTAACGAAATTGATTAAAAGTTGATACCCCCAAGATTGGTGTAGTCCTCGATCTGCGAAAAAATAGTGCGTATTATCCTAAACTTTCTTACGAAGCTAACAAGTGTGAAAAAAACAGTTTTTTTTTAAACTCTATCTTTGATTCAAAGGAACCAACCAACAGTTTTTCTCAAAACTAACAATATTTTTTGTAATTCTAGTGAAAAAAATTAATCAAAAGTTTTTGTAGACTTCAATTTTTTTAATTTTTGTCATGCCTAGACGGCATTTATCCGCACCAGAAGTCGCTCAGCTTCGTAAGAAAGTTTAGGATAATACGCACTATTTTTTCGCAGATCGAGGACTACACCAATCTTGGGGGTATCAACTTTTAATCAATTTCGTTAATTCAAAATAAAGGAAATTACGGTACGGAAAGAGTACATCGCTTCAAAAATGACTCAATATTTTTATCTTGAGTTGTTAAAAAATAAAGAAGAGTAAATTTTCAAAAAATTTTCAAAAATTAAAAAAAAAATTTTTTTTTCAAAAATTATTTTTTTTTTCAAATTCAATGAGCAAAAAATGCCCAATTGTGAAAGAATTGAAAAAAAATCAAATTTTTCATTTTTACGAACGTTACAGGGTGCTCAGAAATGTAAATTTTGCTCCTTTAAATTTTTCTGAAATTTTGATTAAGCGGTCCGGAAAAACCGTTCGATAGATCGATCTGCCCATTTACGGAGCTTTTGGGGGTACATCGAGGTGTAAAAATTCGTACAAGCATTAGACTCTCCATCGATATTAGCAAAGATGCGGTCGACTTAGCAAAACAAGTCAAAAAGTCACTTTTTTCACTTTTTTCAAGTTAATGTCGAGGATGAAAGAAATTTTTTTTCTTCCAAGAACGCTACATAGCCTTGTAGGAAATTTATTCGAGATTTCGAAACTGCCCGTCAATTTTCTGTCTGATCATTAGTTGCTGAGATATCGATGGTTAAAGCCAAAAGGATGCTTTTGTATTCGTAGTCGAATATCTCCGGGTCAAATTAACGTAGAGAAAAATTTAAAAAAAGAAATTAAAGCTGAATGAACAGGCTATCAAGTCCATATCATGATTTTTGTGTAAAAAATTTTTCCAAGCCCGTGGACCGAGAAAAAAAACGCAAAAAATTGAAAAAAAAATTTTTAGTCTTATTTCTTAGAATTTCGCGATGACTATCGCTCCTAAAAATTTTGAACTAAGAAATCTGGAAACTAGACATTCGGCGCTTTAAAATGCTTTTTTTAAAACCTTGATACGATCATTCTTAACTGAGATACAGCATTCTGAAAAATCACTAATAATTCGAAAAAATTTTTTGCTCCCTTAATTTTTTGCAGAAGTATATAATTATTTCATTCATATCTCCGTAACCTATCCCAATATGTGCAATATCGTGGGTTCAAATCAGATACGTTTCTTCAAACATCAGGTGTACCTCAAGGGTCCATCCTTGGACCTCTTCTGTTTGATATTTTTATTAATGATATCGCGGAAGATCTAAACATTCATTATTTATTATACGCTGATGATGTAAAAATATTTGGTCAGACCAACTCTGTTTTGGACTGTGAGAATCTTCAGAGAAATCTTGCTTCACTTAATGATTGGTGTAATAAAAACACTGCCTCTTAATATTAATAAGTGTATGTTATGTCTTTTCATAGGAAAAAAGTGCCTATCACATTCGATTATGTATTGCAAGGCAATGTTCTCAAGAGGCCTGATTGTATCAAAGACCTAGGTATTATTTCTGATGCGCAGCTGAGTTTCTTGCGGCACATCCACGGTTCCTTAGCCGATGTAATAATATGGAGAGTTTTGACATTACTTTTTGTAATGTAAGAGATGTAAAGGCATACTTTAATTAGGTCTATTGTGTATATTCTTGTTTCTTTTAGTTTTAATATGTATATTTTTTCATTGTTTTTGACTGTTCTGTTGGTCATTTTTATTGACTTCGACTTTTATATATACAGGGTGTTCCGTTTAAAACTCCCCAGCTGGATATCTCGAAAACGGAAAAAGATAAATGATTTCTGAAAAATCCACTGTATAGTTTCAATAAATGGCTTCACTTGTGAGTACAAATCCCGTTCCTCTCAGTGCAGGTATAGATGATGCTGCAATCCGAACACATATTTTGTTGACAGCAGTTTTGAAAAGTGGCGCACATGAAAGATCTCTAAATTATAAGCAACTTTTGTGATATAAAAAATTTTCGAAAAGCCACTAGTTTCCGAGATACTTGGATTTGAGGTGTAGTATAACAACCCCAGGTTCAATAAAAAAATGAATACAACGTAGTTGTGGCCAAAAATATGTATGATCGTCATAAAGGAATCCCTACGTTGTGTATTTATTTTTTTAATTGACCGGAAGGTGCTGGCTACTAACTTTTTTTGAGGGGATGTATGGTTTAATTTTTATAAACACAAAAGCATAGTAAATACACCTAACTTTATTATTTACATACAACAGTCTTCAAATTAAACATGTGACACATAGAAAGAACAACAAAAACATTAACAATCATTTAACATAAAATGAGAGTGCCAGACTCACCTAGAGCTCCTGTGGGGAAAGAGCATGGCAGAGAAACCCACGATCGTTACTCTTACCACCCAAATATAAATACAAAACAACCACTAACCAAAGGCATAAATTAAGAACCTTTGCTAATGATAATTAAAACTGGACTTATTTAATTTCTCACTAAATTTCATCTCACTCAAGTCTGACATACATGCTTCCAAGTAAATCTGAAGAGGTTTTAGTAACAATAACAGCAACAACAACAATAATAATAATAATAATAATAATAATAATAATAATAATAATAATAATAATAATAATAATAATAATAATAATAATAATAATAATAACAATAATAATAGGGAAGGTACTGGAGTCCCATACGGGAGGCAATCCAGCTATAGTTGAGATTTTGGGAGAACAACAACAATAATAACAATAATAATAATCATGGGTGAAAATGTTAGTAAATTCAACAAAGCTCTTACATACGTA